AAGCGCACTGTCCGCTCGCCACATCACACGTGTCAGATGTGGCCAGGACTGCACCGCGCTCGGAACAGTTGCATGGCTGTCAGGAACGGTGAAGAGGTGAGGGTGAGGGTTCGGTGGGTGGATGGGGAACAGAGATGGGGGGGGGAGAGGAGACCTCAAAAATCGTGGTGAGAGGGTCAAAAACATATCCCTTTTGATCACGCTGCTTCCAACCAATGATCGTTATACTTGGGACCGAGTTGATGGAATTTTCTTGCGGCAAACCAAGTTTGAAACATGTACAGACTAAGCGGACTCCCTAAAAGTAAAACTTACAGTCCACGAAAGTACTTAGTGCCTATGAAATTGGTTTGGAATGGTGAGGGATGGTGGGAGGGGGTAGAGACGATCAATACATCGACTCCAACCAGTTTATCCCAATCCATCAGATCAGATCAAACGTACACAACCTACTTGTTATCATAAGCGAAAATGTGGAATAATTTTATAATCAAAGCGACTAAAAGTCAAGATCTTTTATTTCGTACACGGTAATATTTTAACATCAAGGAACCTAATTGTCCCGTGCTCCATTTTTCATTGATTTGGAAGTTTTGTGGAGCACAATTTACCCCTGACGAATTTGAATATGCGCATTTGGATTTACCGGATTATGCGCCGCGGGTGGAGGCATATCATGTAAACAATGATTTCTTACACCATGCTCACATTCCCCACTCAGACAGATATCAGGCACGTGCAAAGTGCGTACAAAACGTAGGCGACGTTCCTGCGTGGGTTCGAATTCCACCAAGGCTTCACAATCTCGATTTTAATAACTGACAAATGACCACCCGATCCCGAAGTGGATGCACTAAATTAATTTTAAAGCTTCAAGGATTTAAACAGATAGCAGTGAAACATGGCATTGTAGTCAACAGCCCCTCCTTCAGATAGGAATTGGACCACTGGTAAAATACGAGATTCCATATTTCCAATAATAATCACCAGTGAATGTGATGTCATACTGTGTCTAACCTGGAGTAGAATTAGGAAGAAAACCATTCAGAGTCAATCTCATGGATGATGCATTTATTTATTTAACTCACATTGGTCTAGTTTTAGTTTCAGTCCGCTTAATAGAATTTCGGAAGCGTCTCCGTGACTGACGGGAATGAACACTTGTTGTGGCCTACAGCTAACTGGTTAGTTTTCATACATGTATTAGGCCAAATTGATTGATCGACCGATTGGTTGATCGATTGACTGACTGTTCGAATGCTGGCTTGACGGCATTCGGATGTAGTGCGACGTGTGAGCCGGTGTCGGCCTACCCGCCTGTCATCCTACACGCTGTTCGTTCCTGCTTGGTCCCCGGTTTGTGAACCGGCTAGATATTTGCTGTTTACAATAAACTTACTGCTTCAATCGTTGTGTGTTCATTTGCCTACTTAATTTGGTACACAACAATACTCAACCCACTTTGAAGAACAGTTGAGCAAGAATTACTCATCAAACTGTACATCGAAGCAGTTTCTCAATATGTTATTAGATGGAATTTGTACGCAATGGCTATCAAAGAGTACTGGACAGCTAATCCTCCCTGCTGTTGTGATCCATCAACAGCGTTGCCTGTTGGAAAACCCGATCAGAGAGTTGATCCCTCCCTGCCGCAGAGCTAAACAAGCAACGCTCGACATCTTGGGCCTAGGGTGGCATCAATTAAACCCGTTATTTTGTTTTCTAAGCGAATTTACAAATACCAGAATGTGTGCCTTTAAGTTCATCTGCTTTCCACAGCTTGCGTGATGGATCCAATCTAAATACCATATTATTTGCCCCTAACTCCTGTTTTTCCCTTCACTCGACATCTCTTTCAATCATGCACGTATTCATGTATACCCACATACCTTGCATCCGGTGATCGGATTGTAATCATAGGAACCAGGGGCACACTCTTCACAACGATCCCCCTGAGTGTATGGTGGACAGATGCACTTGCCAGTGATTTGATCGCATACTTGCCCGTTTGGACACATTGGGCATGCTGGATGGGGAAGAAAACAACAGGCGAAACAAATAGGTATTAATATGGACCGGATTCAACGTAAACAATTTACGAATTCCCAAATGAACGCTTTCTCAGTTTGCAGGTCAAACCCTAAAGTGCTCAGATGCTCGTTTAGTCGGCCAAGTTATCGTTATCCGAATCATTTCGCTTGATACAATCACTCTAATACGACTAACCTGACTGACTAACCATGTGCTCTCCTAGGAAATGGTACGTACGGATATATCTCTCCCGTTCACCTTCTGATACCCCGGTAACTACTTAGAATAGCGATGAACATTCAAACAAACCATCTCCGAATAATACTCGTCTCATTGTAAAATTTATCTCTGGCAGAACATTACGGGTCATATTCAGAACCGATATATCCCAAGCAGCTAGGCAACCAAGAAATTTGGAATCCGCATGCCTGCGGTATTTTCTCCGTCAAACAATGTCTACTCATGAGTAATATAAAGAAAATAGTCAATTGTATATCGAGTAACAAATCAAGTTACCTTACTGTAACAGACTTGGATAAGTTTATACCATAAAGATCTGTGAAACGATACAATGTATTTGATGATGAAAAGCAAACTCACGCTGACATCCGGCTGGAGAGACACCGAAGTAGCCGGGCTCACATTCAGTGCATTGACGACCGGTCACATGCGGTGCACATTCACATTGACCGGTTTCCATGTTACACGAACTGGCCCGACCGACAGTCTCGGACAGCTCGGTCCCGATTCCACAGTCGCATGGCAAACAGTTTGGTCCGGTCACATTCCAATAATGTCCACTCTTTGCAAAATACGCAAAGATAAGAATTGAAAGATGTCGATGTGCGTACGTATATGTGTGCACGTGTTTTTATCACTTAAATTGTGTCAAATAATCCAAATTTGTGTGTGCATCCATGCGTGTGTTGAATAGGTGAAAGTTACACAGTAATCAAAATAAACCATTGAACTAGGAAAAAATGGATCAAGGGAATCCATTAACAGTGTCCTGTGGCATACGTAAATATGACCTATGGGTTTGCTCATTAACGTTCAACTAGTTTAAATCCTTTTCCTGGGAACCGGCAATAGGATAGTCATTCCTCGTAATTGATATTCTTTTATTTTTAAGTGTTCTATTATACATCTACGTCATATACGTGTTCTGTGAGCACTGTTTATTAAAGCGCACGACCTGATGAACTGGAAATTCATACTGAACAGCCTGATCACTCAACTGATACTAACTAAAACGATTTATTAACTGATTGATCGATCAATGAATCAAACCGTTCAGTGAACAATACGAGCAACGTTTTTATTCACAACCGAAACGACACCAAGGCAGGTGTCTCGGGGTTCAGAGACCTCCTAGGATGGCGAAACCAGTGAACTTATGTACTATACGGACCAATAACGGAATGATTAACATGAACAGGACACCTTGAAACTAAATGTGTTTTACACCCAAGTCAATTTCCGCGTAACCCTAGAAGGTGGATTAGTTTCCGATGTTGGTTGTACTTAGTCAACCGAACGTTGAACAGTGCTATTTACGAACAACCAGTTGATTTCGTACGACCAGGTAACTTTAGTACAGCCCGGCGAATGAGGGATTGATTAATTGACTGGCCACATTTTCTCGGGTGAATGGATAGTAGTCATCCATGATTTTATAGCTAACTAGTAAAGAAATAAATTGAAGAAGAACAGGAAGGAGGGTAGTGGCCGTTCCGACAAACGCACTGCAGTAGCTGACCAAAAAATTGTTAATTCCCCGAGGTGGTTAAAAACATTGTACATTTTCTAAATACTGAGAGCGATGCGTGTCTGAGGCGACATGAGCTAATGTTCTGAAAAAACCCAGTCAAGCTTTTGAACTATTCCCCAATTTGGTTAAAACAGTAAATTGTGGAAAGGATGGAGATCCGTGGAAGAATCTCACTGTTTGTGAGTATAGTTTCAACTGGTTCGGATTTACCAAAGACGACTGAACACTTTGTGGTACAGTCTGTGTGAAATCTCTAAACACTTGCGTAGGGCATAGAATTTCATCGTGGATTAAGATTTTCTGAATATATCATTCTGATTTTGCTGGAGCAATTGTTGTGTGAACATTGGTACAGACGGGGCTCCACAACACCGTTTTAGCCAGCAGATTGTGAAAACCAAAATTGTAGATACCTAAACAACATANAAGTTGTCTGTTCTGTACCGGTCAGATATACCCTCTGAGGACCCGATACATCACAGACGAACCATCAGGTGATGTTCCTGACTAGGCTTGTGTGATCGGGGCTCAGTATTCACGTCCTCAAAGCGCACGTTGGTGGTGGCACTCTGTAATTCTGTTTTGACACTGATAATTGTTATAGGCGAGTAATTGAGGATTTGATTCAAATTGGTAGGGAGAAAACATAAAGCGTGAAATGAAAAGCTAGGGAGCACTGTACAGTTGTTTCGACCTAGCTTCTCAGTTCGTATTTCATTTACTCTGTACACGATGAATTCCCTCTCTGAAATTGAACAAAATCATCTATTACTCTCACCCAATAGGTAGTCAGGCTGTGAAAGTTTCCGAACTAGTGATAACCCCGCA